CTAAGTAATGGGGCCTCCTTGCTATTTCAGTGCAAGTTGCACTTTAATGCATAATATTTACCAAACCGACTGCTATGTGGAAGGATCTGCTTTCACTATAGCCACCTGACCAGTCACCTGATCAGGATGCCACAGTTTCAAGGGAGATATTGTTTGGCAGATTCGGCACCTGCTGTGACCATTAGAAGGGTTTACCGCTCTCCTCGCTGAATATATTTTTTTTATTGTATGTAGGTCGGAAAGCCCAAAACCCAAAAATTATAGCAAGGAGATCTCATTGGTGGAGTATTCTAGACATGTATTAGGACAGGGGCTGCCTCGTGCCCGCATGCTCCACCTATAACTAATATATGTCTCTTCAGTGAAATGAACTTCAGTGGTATGTACATTAAGTTTTAATTTCTCACTCCATACACACCATCTGTTATTCCTTCACATAATGACTTCCCATAAACATCATCCTCCATTGTGGCCTCTGTAATGATTAATTGCTGGACTAACATGTAGTAGTATAAAATAGTACAAAATCTATGGCTAACACTAGCTAATGTATGGCTGAATTAAAATGTGGGAGACTAGCACAAGGGAGTCACCCTTTGGCAATTATATCTTTCATCTATATAGTAGCCAGGGAATGGGAGGCCAAGAGGGGGCTAAGCACTGGTCTGCAAACTGGTCCTTCAAATAGATGTACTATGTTTTCATTTTTTTGTCACACAGCACGTGTACCCAAAGCCATTCGCTGACGGACTCTAATTTTTACAGTGACCCTGCTTGATACAAGCGATTTGATTTCCCTTTTCATGCTTATCCTTGCTGCTCTATATTTGTGCATACTGCTAAGTGGACAGAAACTCCTTCATAAACCTGCAGGGCATTAGTAGTATGTCGTGCCAAGTGCTGCTGTCCTTGCTGTCTCTTTTCACCTTTCATTACCCCGCTCTCTCCATCTGCCTGCTCCCTCTGTTAAAAGCACCAAGCCTATGCTGTAGTTTTAAAAGCCCATCTTAAGATTGGGTCAAAAATTTCAAATGAAAGTACGTCAGACCAAAAAATATTTATAGGTAGTACATCTTTGCAATACATGTACATTTCCCCATGTTTTATGCCTTTAAAGATCATGCAAGTTCAGAAAAATACCCATTGATGTGGCAGAGATGTACGCAATTCCTAATTCCTGTTGTGGACCGAGTGGTGTCAGCCCTGCCCAGTAGTCTTTTCCTAAACTACTCAAACCTTTAATGACAGCCACGATCAGTTAACACACTGACTGAAAATCTTGCCAACCTGGGCTCACAATACTGCTGCTTAATGATTTTATGAGAACAGTGATGTGCAGGAGTAAGGGCTGGCCAGCCAGAGGGAAGAAGAGGACAACGACCCCCACCCATCATGTGACCAGAATGAAGCTTCCTAAAGAATGAGCACCAAGAGCTTGGGAGATATAGTGTCCAACCCGTCACAAATCTGGTGCCTTAGGGCCTGTATTATATCCATAGACTTTGAACCTTTTGTTAATGGAATCAGTTTGACATCAGTTTGAGACACTTCAGAGATCATTCAAAATTCATTAACAAGTTCATTGGACCATCAGTTGACTTCTGACCTGCTTCAAGTGGGTTTTGCATCCACAAACTTGTATGGGGATGCAAAACCCATTTGAACCAAATAAAAGCCCATGGACACAAAACCATAGATTACCCTTAGATCACTCGCTGCTAGGCACATCTAGCCCCCGCCTGCCTGTGACAGTGCTCAGGCCATTGGCTACTTAGGCAATAAGCAACGCTAAGCCACCACCTTGAAATAACCAGCAGCATTCCCAGCCTGCTGTGCAGCTGATAGGTGGCCTAAAAGCCAACTGAAGGAGCTCGCACAGCAGGCTGGCAATGCTGCTGCTTATTGCGAGGCAATGGGTTAGCTCTGTCAACCTGCAACAGGATTGACATTGCAACAGATTGACAACAAAAAAAAAAAGCTTTAGAAAACTGTCCAAAGTGAGGCACGGTGCTAAACATACTGAAAAATAATTGAGTGTTCATGCACACAATTCATTATGCATTTGCCTGGAGTTCTGCTTTAATCTTCATAATCTGCCTCGTATGTTGTTTTTGTTGCTCTTCTTTTTCTCTGATACCTGTGCGCAGGCTGGATACGGTGAATGAGCATCACATATCTCAGATCAGCTTGTCTGATGGCAGAAGCCTCATTAGTGCTTCTCGTGAGCGCTTTGCAGCGGTGGAGCCGTAACAGGCTGGGAACTCCGCAAGCCATCGTAGAGCTCTCTCTCTCTCCAGCAATTAAAACCAGAACATGTCAAGTGGATGAGAACATCTGCAGCCCCTGTGCTGCAACAAACACTTAAATCCCCTTGCGACAGCTGGAATTAAACCTTATATTAATCTGGGGAATCAAAGAATGCGGTCCTGAGACAGATATATCCCACGCTGAATAACCCTTTCCGTGACTACCGGGCTGGAATAAAACTCCAGTCTAAAATAAACATAATCAAACTAGGCGGAATATCTGCAAGCTGTTAAAGTAGCAGGGGAAGACATTTTCTGTTGGCGTACTTCACTTCCTGAGGATTGCAGAGACATCTGGGTCTACTGAGAAACATCACTGAAAACTTAAAGGAGTTATCCATTTTAAATGAAAAGTCAACCCCTGTTAAAGGGGACCTAGCACTGGATAAGTAATGTGTACATGAAGGGTGAGCAGGGACAGATTCACCATTAGGCACCAAGGCAGAGAGGTGCCTTGTTTCTAGAAACTTATTGGCCATATGTACATGTTTTTACATCATCTAATATAAGCTGATATTTACAGATTGACACAATCTTCTATGTCAGGTTGGGTTTAGTAAAGTCAGGAAATGTTCTGTGTAAATGCAGCGATACTAGAAGAGAAGTATTGCCTTGCACGCCAAAGTTTTTCCACCTACAAGTTCCAGTGTTGGAAATCTGGAATTGAAGAGGTGTTATAAGGGTTGGGGTATTGGCCTAAATCCTGAAGCCTACTGGCTGGTTATATGACATTATATGAAGTCCATCCTCTTCTGTTCTGATGGTGGTGGTTAGCAGTCCTTACTGTGAGCCCAGGTAGGCATATTAGCACTCAGGGCTGGATTTCCCACAAGGCCAACCGAGGCCCGGTCTGGGGGCAGCAGGGAGTAGAGGGGCAGCAGGGGTGTGGAATTCTTATCTACCTACACCCAGTTCCAGGTGCCTGGGTGGGTAGTTGTTTTCTACATTTAGCCCTGCTTTGGGTAATGTCGCCGAGATCACTTGTATGCAGACTGCATACAAGGAGGCGCATTGAGGCAGCAGAGAGAGTAAATCCGGCCCGGATGACACTCCCCTTAGGGGAGTGTCTATGACAGCCTGGGATCACAGGAAGTGGATGGATGACACTGGCAGTCATTAAATCCAGAAGAAGGGTGACAGCAGCAGAATGGATTGATTTTTTTTTTTTTACTGCTTATGTTTGCACAGGTTGCAGAAGCTAAAAATCCACTTTAAAATGGATCTGAACTCAAAAAGTAAACATTGGCCAAGCAGTACTCTGAAATGTGTACCTTTTGTCATGAACTCTTCCTGGAAAATAACAGTGCCCTTGCTGATTTGGAAGGGTACCTAGACATCCCTGTGCCTTCAACCTCATATCTGTATATCTGCAGTGTGAGATCCAAGGCAATGCTGCTTCTGACTGCTAGTCCCAGGAGATGTGGAGTGAGATTTGGTGATGGCACTGCTGTGCTGCTCACTGCCCTCCTTGTCAGTAGTCAAAGTGGCGACTCTACCAAGATGGTCGCCTCCACACAGAGGCACAGTACAAAAAAAGGCATCGTAAGACAGTAATGGGGAAAAGATCAGCTACAGTGAGCCCACTGCCAATACTGGGCAACTGTGATAATGAAGGTATGAATTTCCCCCTGTGGGTTTTGTGTGTTTTTTTATAATGTTCCACAACGACTGCCGACAGCCTCTATACCGCTGTATAGCGGCACTCCCGCTCCCGTTCAGCCGATGAGTCTTAGCCTGGCCAGCTGAGCTCTCACTGTACCGGAAGGCAGTTATAGTTCCAATGCACAGCCTGTTTATAAACAAGGCTACAGGAGCCCTCTAGTCGTCTCCACCATCCCTCCTCCATCACCAAGGGACCAAAGAAGATTCTTCAAGCCTATGATTACATCCACATAGACCAGCTGCAGGAGCCGTTCATGATCCAAGCCGACAACATCACTCACCCTCCATTGGCAGGACATCATCACGTCCATCCAACCGTGAGTCCTCATTTGCAGATATCAATTTAAGTATTTTTTTAAACAAAAATTTGGGTTGTAGCTCTCTTTCTTTGCCTTCTCATAGCCCTCTCTGTGCCTTTTTCTGGGCACAGCTTCCAGTGATCAGTTCCTCTAGAGTAGTATCTACAGGACTGAAGCTCAGGGATCCCACTTATATCTTGCACAGGACACGTGTGCCAACTTTTGGAACAAATAATATCTTTTTTTTTCATATGAAGGTTCAAATGGTTATTTTGTTAGTAAATGTAATATTTGGTATATCTAATATTTGTCAGTAAATCTAAAGGCGACTTTAGGATTTGATGGCATAGTGTGTGTTGTCACTTGTGTGGCCATCTTTAGATGCCAGGGAGTGATTCAACCGAGATGGTAAAGTCTAAAACTGAACTGGAATTGGTCTTTAAAAAATACAGCTATTTAGGTTGGGAAAATCACAGAGGAGAATTTATCAAAATTGGAGCAGACAAAATCTGGAGCAGCTTTGCATGTCAGCCAATCAGCTTCTCTCTTCAGTTTGGTCAGTGAAGATCTGAAAATGAAAAGTAGACGCTGATTGGTTGCCATGCACAGCTGCTCCGGATTTTGCATGCTCCAGTTTTGATAAACTCCCCTCTCAATATATAACATCACCATATCAGAGTTGAGATAGTAATGTAACATTCTTCTCTCTATCTCACAGGCCTGGCTGGGTTGGATGCCAAATCAAGTGGACGCCTCGGAACCAGAGCAATGGTGTATTATATGTCTACCACCATTATCGCTGCTGTGCTGGGAGTAATTTTGGTCTTGGCTATTCATCCTGGAGACCCCAAACTAAAACAGCAGCTTGGGAAGGGCCAAGAAAATGATGAGGTGTCCAGCTTAGACGCCTTCTTGGATCTCATAAGGAACCTCTTCCCTGACAACTTGGTGCAAGCTTGTTTCCAGCAGGTAACTAAACTCACCTTTTATTAGGGTTGCCACCTTTTGTTCTAGCGAAACCCGACCACTCAAGCCACGCCTGGATATTTTTTTGGGAGAATGAGTCGTGGCTTATTCATATGTAAATATCACAGTTGAGACTATTTTCAGTGGGGGGCCAGTAGCCTCTATCTTAATTTTGGTTGCCCCTGTCTGCCTGATATCTTGTGTCCGGGTTCCTGGTGCCATGAAACCTGGACACAGCATTCAAAACCCGAACTGTCCGGGTGAATCCTGGACAGGTGGCAACCCTACCTTTTATACTGATCCATGAAGGTCCTAAAAACAGAACATTTCAGCAGCTTTATCTCCTATTTAACAATGTAGTTATACTTATAGTGTGATAGGACACAGAGTTCATGGGGGATTTTCAAGAAAGCTGAAAACCCCTCAGAGGTCTACTTGGAACCCTTTATGAGATGCCGCAGCCGGAGCGGATCACGACTCGGCTGACGGGATCCGCCCAGCTGCGTGAGTGACAGCTGGCTCTGCCTATCTAGAGGCAGAGCCAGCTGTACCCGCCCCCCCCCCCCTCCGGTCCGCCGGGCAGGC